GTCTCGCGGGGCGGCCGCGCCCCAACTGGGGCAATGGGTTGCGGGGTGACGGACGCGGCAGTCGCTGTCCGGCTTCGCACCTGCGGCCCCGCGCCGGGGTCGCAGCGCGCGCCCAGCTGGGTGCCCTGGCGGGCTTCCTGGGGAAACGGGGCGTTGAGCCCTGCGGGGGCTCGGCGAAGAACCCGCAGGAGCGGGCAGGACCGGGCGCGAAAGGTCGCCTGCGGCCCTGGGGCTCGGGGCTGGCCCCGGAGCCCTGTGGGTCCTCGGGCACGCGTCCCCGCTCTTTGTCAGCCACGCGCGGCGAGCACGCGGACCCACCCGCGCCGCCGTGTCGCGGGCGCGCCCCTCGCCGCCGTGGGGAAGGGGATGGGGCGAAGTGGGGAGGCCGCAGCAGGCGAGCGCCGGGTCGGGAGCCTCTCGCACACTCCGCCTGCGGCCTTTGGGATGGATTGGGGGCGTGGGCGCGCGCTCAGGTGAACCGGGACTGATGGAATGACCTGGGTGGCCGAAAGGGTGGGACCGGAGCCTTGAGGTCAAACAGGTGTGTGTGTGTGTGTGTGTGTGTGCGCGCGCGCGTGTGTGTGCGTGAGTGTGTGTGTGTGTGTGTGAGAGAGAGAGAGAGATAGAGAGAGCCAGGCAGAGGGGAGGACGATTGCTCCCGGAGGAGGCCCTGGCTCAGCGGGTCTTTGTAGTAAAATGGGCGTTTGGGAGGGGAATGGGCGGCTTTGGAATGAAGCAGGTGGTCCGAGAGGAGGAGCATTTTCCTGCCTGGGGCGGAGGGTAGGGTGGAAGCACAACCCGAGTTTCCAGATGTTGGGGCTGGTGTTTCACAACCTGGCCCGGGTATAGGAGCCGGGAGGTGGGCGCCAGAAGGTAAGGTGTGTGTGTGTGGGGACACTAGGATAAAGGGCTAAGCTGTGCCAGAACCTGAGCTCTTTCCTCTCCATCTCTCCCTGAACCCCTCTTGGTGCTCCTTGGGAAGAGGCCGCGTCGCTGCTGGCTCGGGGTGGGGGACTGTCTTGGCTGGGCTGTTTTTTCTGCCTTAGGCGGCCTAGAGGCGTCCTACACCTTTTGATGTTTCTTTTGTTATCTCTGAGTTCTGTGCTTGTGGTGCGGAGCTGCCAATGACCCAGGAAGCTGTCTCTGCCCCTTGCTGCCTCCAGGCAGAGATTCCCAGAATCCTGGAGGAGCTGTGCCAGAGATCCGTGGAGTCCAGCCATTTAGGCCACCTCCCTGTCCCCACACAGCCTGGTGTGCAGGTATTTCCCATAATATCCCTAGTCCACATCTCCTGCCTTCCCTGGCGCCAGAGAGAGGTGCTCACCCAGCCTGGGTTTGGGGCCCTAGGAAGGCTGACCGCTGCAGGCATGCGCCATCTCAGCTCTGATGGAGCCCTTAGGGTGGTGGGCCGTGTAGCAGATGGCCCTGGGAAGTGAGCTTGGCCTGGAAAGGGAAGGCTGCCCAGGCTGGCTGGTGGAGTCCAGCTGGCCTCAGAATGATTGTGTTTCCACTCATCTCCCTCCACTAGTTAAACTGACCAGAAAAACTGTCTGTGCCACCTCCCCATCCCCACACTGTACATCTTATTCCCATACCAGTCCTGGAATGAGCCATGAATATTTTACCTAATGCCTGCTGTTTGGGGTGCCATGTATGGCAGCGGCCTGTTTTGCTGTGTTCTTAAAATATCCTCTAAGGTAGAATATTACCCCCATTTTGCAGATGATGAAACTGAGTCTCCGAGGAGTGGAGTGACTTGCCCTTGATCACACCAATTGTAAGTGGCCAAACCTGAATTTATATGTAGGTGTTTTAAATTGAGTACTTTGTGTAGTATGTCCCCTGGAAAAATGCAGGAATTTTTGTCTATTCTAGCTTGCTTTGTTTCATGCCTGCCATTGAGTTCCTGCTTCAGCTTTTTGATAGTATGTCCCACCTACTGCCCGGTTTTGTCCTCACAGAATTCCTGGCAGCGAAGTAGAAGGGGAATGTAGCAATAGTTGCTGTTTATTGAGTTCTCACTGGGCACCAGGCAGTGTTAAGACTTTATGTGCAGGATCTCATTCAGTCCCCATGAACAGCCCTATAAGGTTAGGTGCTAGCATTATCCCCATTTTACAGATGAGGATGCTGAAGCTAAAGAGATTAAATGGCCCTGGCTTCTCCAGGGTCACATAGCTGGTGAGTGGGGAGTAGATCTGAACTCACTTTTTTTTTTTCTAAATCTGTGAGACCTGTGAACTTAATCCTGTATGTTCCAAATAACAATAGTGGTTGCTAGTAGTTGGAGCTAACATTCATACAATATTTTAAGATTTACAAATTTTTAAATATGATACCTAATATGGTTTCCCCCAGGTCCCCTGAATTGCTTTTTTGGTTTTGGTTTTTTGAGACAGGGTCATGTTATGTAGTTCAGGCTGGCCTTGAACTTTCAGTGATCCTTCTGCCTCAGCCTCTCAAGTATGGGACCGTGCCTGGCATGCATAGCTTTTGGCATGTATTATCATTATGAAGTTGGATAGGTAGAGGTCAAGTTAGTGGCAAAACCAAGGCTAGGATCACTGCCTCCCAAGCCTCAGTGTTCCTTGTGTGTCCCCTTCCGTCTGTTCACATTCGTCCTTTCCTCTTCCAGATCCCTTCTCTCTGGAGTCCCAGGTCCTCCTGCTGCAACTCCTACCTAGACCATGTCTTCCTCTGATGAAGAAACGCTCAGCGAACGGTCCTGCCGGAGTGAGCGGTCGTGTCGGAGCGAGCGGTCTTACCGGAGTGAGCGGTCAGGGAGCCTGTCTCCCTGTCCCCCTGGGGACACCTTGCCCTGGAACTTGCCACTACATGAGCAGAAAAAGCGGAAAAGCCAGGACTCTGTGCTGGACCCCGCAGAGCGTGCTGTAGTCAGAGTTGCTGGTAAGAGAGTTCCCTCTGCAACTGGATGCTGTGGCCGTAAGGGACGGACAGGCTGGTGTGCAGCCATTGCCTGGGTGGGAAGCAGAGGGGTCCTGGCATCAAGCCAGCTGGAATCTAATTGATTACTGCTGGCAACATGATGAAAGCAATGAAGAAAAACTCGGAAGAGGAAAGTCTGTTCCCCCATGCTAAAAAGAGACCTGCTTTCCTTTCTGCATCCTCTTCCTTTGCCCCCTCAGTTCTGTGTAGTTGCCTGCATGGCCTGTGTACCATTCTGACTCTTCAGTTCCTCTTTTTTTTGTCCTTTTGAGACAGGGTCTCACTATGCAGTTCAGGCTGGCTTTGAGCTCACTTTGTAGCCCAGGCTGGCCTCGAACTTGCAAGGATCCTCCTGCCTCAGCCTCCCGAGTGCTAGGATGACAGGCGTGCGCCACCATGCCCGGCTTCAGTTACTCTTGTAGCAAAAAGATTTTCCTTATTACACCAGACTGTAGTGAATTTTAAAGACTGTGCAATATTTCATGATTTTCCAAACCCTACTCTTTTCCTCCAACTTTGTGGCCATAGTAAGCAATACTGCCATGAATATGGTTAAGAATAATAACTTTTGACTTCCGAATAACAACTTTTGACTGTGTTATTTCATCATAGTGAAGTCTTTCAAGAGGGCAGTGCCACTCACATTGCCTTCTGAAAGTGTTGGGCACCTCCTCCCCTGGCTCCGGGTCAGCGCTGGGGGCTGCCTTGGCCTCTGCTGGGAAGTGCCCAGTTCTCCTTTGCCAAGCAGCCGTGGGGTGCACTGGTTATGAGGCGGGCTCTGGTGGCCCTGCTAACAGACCGGCTGTGCGACTCCCTTACCTCAGTAAGAACGCCCCCGTGCATGCGGAAAGTCACTGCTTGTGCTGGAGGTATGCAGAGCCCCTCCCTGGGGTGTGCTCAGCGTCCCCAGAGGAGCAGTTAGTGGCATCACCCGCCTTCAGCCCATGGTCAGGTCCTGTCCTGTTGCCTCCGCTGTGTCTCTCAAGTTTATGCCCCTCATCATCACCTCCTCTCACTGTGACCTTCCAGCTGACGTCTCATTCCTCCCCCACTTCTTCCACATGACCAACAGTACTTTATTCTCAAATGCAAATGTGACCATATTACTCAGCTGTTTTTAAACCATCTTTGGCTCCTTCTTGCCTGTGGAATGAAGGTCTCAGGGGAAAGGCTCATCAAGACCAGGCCTTATTCTACTTCTTGCATCTCACCTGCGGCCCCTTGACCCCCAAGCACCCTGCCATGCTGTACTGGAGCTTGTTCTCCAGAGGTATGCAGCATGCAGGGTCCAACTTCCATGCTTTCATTTTCTTCTCTGCAAGATGCTGCTTGCCCCTCCTTCTCTTTTAACTGTCGCCTCCTCTGTCCCTAATGCCCCCGGAGGTATCCAGAGCTCCCGCCTCCGTTCTCATATTCCTACTTTTCGCTCCTCCATGTTCCCTTGCACAGAACAGCAGTTAACTGACAGGGAGCCTATCCCTCCTTCAGGACCGTGAACCATTAGGGACAGTGGCTTGTTTACACGTTGTGCCCCCTGGGTGACTCCCACAGATCTTTGCTCATGCTAGAGATCAGCCAGTGTTGAATGACTGAGTGAATGTAAGGGGTGTTGAGAGGATAATGTGACAGATTGTGATCAGGAACAGGCAGTAGGCTATAATGGGAAGTCAGACAGGGAGAGGGTTATGTGGGCTCAAATAAGCAGGAAGGATTTTAGCAAGCACGAGCTCTAAGGGAGGAAACAGCAGTGGGCTTGGCAGGCAAGCTGCAGTTTGGATCTCCTTCTATTATGCAATAGGGAGCCCTTGGAGGGAGCTCTCAAGCCCTACGTGCCTGTAGCCCAAGCCAGTACTAGAGCTTCAGAGCTGTCCCTAAGAGGTAGGAAGGGCTTTACTTGTCCCTAGCCTTGAGAAGCCATGACTCAGGAGCCTCTGACTCACAGACCTCTCGCCCTCTTGAAGGCAGAGCTGATGCTTCGTTCTTTCTTATATGCCCCACTCCATCCTGCACCACTCTTCCAGGTCACTTTGGGGTGCCTTTCCCTTCCATCTTCTCTGAAGAGACCTCGCTGATTAAGAGTCTGAGGCTGGACTAGAAGTGGAGTGGATATGAAGGGGCTTAAACCCCAGCCAGAGCCCCTCAGGACGCCGCTGGATGAAGTGACTGAGGGAGGGGGTGCTGTACTGCGATCTTTGCATCCTGACCCTGCCCAGTCTGTCTTGAGTAGGGGGCTGGGCTGGTGAGGATGGAAATGGGGAGATTGCCATGGTTAAAAATAACTTGTGTGCTGCAGCTAGGCGTGTTTCTTCCACAGGAGAGGAGCGAGGCAGCAGAGACGAGGCGGGACTGCTACTTTAGGGTCTGGCTGAAGTCTCTGTGTGATTTTTAGAGTGTTGTGGGGCCCCAGCAGAGCAGTGAGAAAGGCAGCCTTGCCCGTGTGGGGATTCTGCACAGAGCTGCGAGGGGCAGGTCTTTGGCCCCAGGATGCTCTTAGGCTCTCTGCAGCAGATCTTGGATCTTCCCTTCCAGTGAGGAAATGAAGTCAGGCTCCCACTGGCAGCCAGCTGTGGTCTGTGCAGTTTCTCCTCCCCCTAGGTCTGCATTAGGAAGCCAGGTGGGGGTGTTCGAGTCAGTCTCTCCAAATGCAGCGACTCTCCTTTCCTTGCCCTCTCTGTGTCCTAAGCTGGTCTCAGAGCCTTGCCCTTGCTGGAGAGGCCCGATGGAAGCACCCTGCTGGTCCTGCCTGTCGCAGGAGAGAGGCGAGTCTGGGCCAAGAAACCTGCTGGTCTCAGTGAGCAAAGTCAAGAAGACTGTAGGGGCGCCACACATTCTGCAACCTGATTCTTCCTTCTGGCTTCCTGTCCTCATCCTTTCTGTCCGTTCTTTCTCTCCCTTTTCTTTGCCAGCCCTATTCCCAACTCCATAAGCCCAGCCGCGCTGAAATTTAACAAGAGTCATGTATGAGAGCACCCCGTATCTCTTCATGAGCTTTGCGGGCCACTTACTGACGTTGTAATAACACATGTGCTAGGCAGGACAGTGGCTTAGCATCTGAGGCCCAGAGGCCTTAGGAACTTGCCCGGAGTCACACAGACACAGCTTCTAACTCCAAACACATACCTATTTTCATTCCTTAGGCAAGCAGGCCAGTCTGACTCTTCTGCCAGTGACCCCTAATAGCTAACCTGGTACTCTGAGTCACCCGAGAGACCTTCTGGTCACTTTTGAGAGAGGCCTCAAGGGGAAGGCAGCAAAAAGATAGAGGGAACTTTGCCCTTTCCCTTCTGGCTGTCTCTCCGTAGCAAACAGCAGATTATCCTTACTCCCTGAGTGGGGGCAGCAAGGAAGGCAGACCTGGGAGATTATTCTAGCAAGGAGTATAGCCTCAAAGTGTAGAGGAGGGTGGTGGGAAAAAGATTGCATTTCTTGGGTGCTGCGGAGAGTGGAGGAAAAATAGGTGTCAGACGGGTTTCATGTAATTTATACTGCACCACTCTAGGGGGTGCCATTTACAGTTGTTGCATTGTAGCTTTGTGTTTTTATTACTACTAGATTCCTGCCGATGGAAGTAAATGTTTTATTTGGAGTAGGGCAGGTTGTGTGTAGAAGGGATTCACAATCTAGCAGGTATTCATTCATCCAACATCACATATTCAAGGCCTTTCCTGTGTTTGTCATATTTCCTGTGGGCCTGTCTTTGTGGAACTCAGTCTGGTTGAGAGTACTGAAGGAAAACGTTAACTATACCCTCATGTGTATTGTGAAGGCAGGGAGCACAGGGACTAGGCTGAGGAGGAGTCTCCTAGTTAGCCAGTCGGAAGCGCCCATGGGATTCATTTTAGGAGCCCTCAGCTGTGCTGTTGCAGTGATTCCCCGCATCGGCTCCACTGTGGCCTCCCTCAGGAAGCCTTCCCTGATCTCTTCAGTAGATCTCTCTCCAGTCCTTGTTGGCTTTATTTTAAAGTTTATTGTCTCCAGGTTCATTTCTTCCACCAGATCTAGAGACTGCTGTATTCCAAGCCCCATCTTGCCCTTCTGCCCTGAGGCAGGCAGCCCTGAGAAGGTCAGGGGGGAAGCCTGCTCCAGCAGGAAAGCTTAGAGAAGACATCCCACAGGCACCTCTCTGGGTATTCACTTGTTCAGTATAAAGATGGATTGAGCCTCAGCTGTGTACAAGGCACTGTGGAGACAATCGGATGTACCGTCAGAAAATGTAGGCAGCCTGGTGTGTTGGTGTACGCCTGTAATCTCAGCACCCAAGAGGCTGAGGCAGGAAGAGCCCTATGAATTAGAGGTAAGCCTGAGCCACATAGTGAGTTCAAGACCGGCCTAAACTACACAGTGAGACCCTGTCTCAAAACAAACAAACAAATGAGACTTCACTTTTTGGGGTCTTGGTTTCCATATCTGTAATAGAGAGGTAATGGTATCTGCTTCCAGTGACCACTGAGTGGAGATCAGAAGAAGCTGGAGAAGTACAGGTACGCATGTCAGTTCTGTGCTTAGCACGATCCTTCCTAGTAACGTCCTTGGCAACCAGCAGAGGCAGTGGAGGCTGTGGGAGGCCAGAGGCCCCAAGCCTCTTAGATCTGTCCCTTTCTTTTGTTCGTTCCACGGCTTTATGAGAGAGCAGATGGAAATGGTTTATTCTGACCAAGCTGTGGACAGTAAGAAAAGAATGCAGCCATGGGAAATGGAACTCTAAAAACAGCCCCACTGGTAACCCTTATTCCTGACCAGGCAACTTGGCATGTCCCAGGCTTTTCTGAGCTTTGTATCTAAGAAGAGTCCTCCCCCTTCCCAGTTTCTCTGCTTCCTAGCAGCGTTCTCAGATCCCTGGCCCTGTCCTGGAGCTTGGTTTCAGTAGCGCGAGAGTCCCCTGAAAGTGGGACAGAATAAATTGTAGCTGCATACCACCAGCTCAGCTTTGGCTCTTTGAAAGCAAATCTGGGTCACATTAGCTGCAGGGATAGAAAATGACCACGTGGGCAGAATTCTGTGCAGGTGGTAGAACTAACAGCCAGTCTGTCCTTCCTGTGAGGCCCAGGGGCCCTGTGGGACCCCAGCTGGCACAGGAGGTGGTTGCTGCATTGCGAGGTGCAGTGATGACTTTATGCCATTGCTTCCTATCATGCACTTCCAGTGACTTCCAGGTGACACAGAGAAAGGTTTCAAATGGCATTCTGGCTCATGCCTCTGTTTCAGGAACATCCTGGCTCATGCTTCTGTTCCAGAGGTTAGGAATGCAGGGAAAAGGGGTGATTACTTTGGGGACTGTAGAAGGCTGTCACTTCTTGGGCTTATGGGCCGAGAACTGACACCATGGCAGGATCTAGGGCTGCATTTATGTCTTTCAGCAGCCTTCCCTGGAGAAAGGGCTGTGGACACACCTAGAGATGATCATTAGTAACCCAGGGGCGATGCCAAGCCTGGCCGGCGGCCTCTCTTTTCCTTTTTGCTGTGGTGGGACCTGCCACGATTTGGCCCTGCGACTGCCTGTCACTACCTGTAGTTGAAAGCCGACCGGTTTTACTTTGGGTCTCCTGTAAGGTCAGAGGGGTGGCCCTGGCTGGATTCTGCCTGGACTGAGGACGCTCGTACAGACAAGGTCTGGGGCTACTATATTAGTGGTTGTGGGCTGATGTTCTTTCTCCTTTCTCTCTTTTTTGTGATACATGGAAATGAACCAAAGAAATTTGCCCTGAGCTACATCTTTGCTGTTTTGTTTTTTATTTTGGGACAGGGTCTCACTAAATGGGTAACTTGCCCAAATGGGGCTCAAGCTTGCACTCTTCCTGCCTCAGCCTCACAGAGTATTAGGATTCTAGGCAGGTATGCTCAGCTTGTGCTGACATTCTGTCCTAAACTGTGCTCCACCCCTGCTCGGCTACCTTGTGGTCAGAGGGAGGGGTCTTGCCTGGAGCCTCCATGTGTGTCTCTGGGCACGCCCTCCCTCCTTGCTCCCTCATTTGTGTATTTCCACAGTTGCTCGCTTAGAAAAATTTTTTTAAAAATTAAGGTACTAGGGCCTGAGTCCCGGGGCACATATATGCTAGGCAAGCACCCTCCCACTGAGTTATATTCCCAGCCCTTTTTATTTTCAGAGGGATCTCCCAAAATTGCCCATGCTGGCCTTGAACTTGTGGTTGACTTGCCTCAGCCTCTCCAGTGGCTTTGGAGTTAGTTAGAATCCTCATTTCATCACTCACTCACTCACCAGTTGAAGACTCTGCAGAGCTTCTGACCTCAACAAGCCTTACTTCCTCATTGTTGGAGGGGTGGGGAGGCAAAAGAGCTACCCCGGAGTCTGCAACTATTCTAATGAATGCCGGCCATTCATTTGCATACTCGTTCATCTGTGAGGTCCTGATGTCCTGCTCCCTGGTTGGTCATGCAGGTTGCTCATTAAACATTACAGGAGCTACCTTGTCGTGGGCTTAGACTTGGTTTCAGAGCCGGCCTGTGAAGGGAGTTAGAATCCAGCCTGAGCTGTGCTACACTCAAGCCAAAGAGAGTCTGGAGGAAGTTCCTGGAGAGAAGGGCCTCCTCCTACTCCTGCCTCTTCTGGGCCCAGAGCACTGATGGTGTTTTTTTGTTTTGGTTTGGTTTTTGGCAGTACTGTGTATGAACCCAGGGTCTTTACATTTTGCTACATCCCTAGCCCCTTTTTATTTTTTATTTTGAGACAGGGTCTCTCTAAGTGGCTAAATTGCCCAGGGTGGGCTTGAACTTGTGATCCTTCTGCCTCAGCCTCCTGGGGGCTGGGATTATAGATGTGCACCTCTATGATTAGCTAAAGACAACATTCGATCTGAGATTTGAAAAAGAAATAATAATTTGCCAGGACAATCTGAAGACAGAGAGTACATGCCTGTTACTTGTTTCTGTTCTTGCTCTCCTTTCTTCAGCCTTGGTAAGGTGGAAGGAAGGAAAATGAACAGAGAACAGCTGGTGGCAGTTAAGAACTGAAGAGTCCTTGTTGGGCATGGTGGCACATGCCTATAATTTCAGCACCCAGGAGGCTGAGGCAGGAGGCTTGCCACGAGTTCAAGGCCAGCCTGGGCTACATAGTAATTCAAGGCCAGCCTGGACTCCATCAGGAGACCATGTCTCAACTTCCTCTACCCCCTCCCCCCATTAAAGAATGGATCAGGTGGGTTGCAGAGTGGACTCTGGATTCAGTTCAGGAGCTTCTGAGAGATGCTGCCAACTGGAATCTCCTGGTAAAGAATAGCTGGAAGAGCTACTGTGTAGAGCCTTAGACACGTGCCAGGCATCTTACATGTATCACTGAAGCCTCGAAGAACCCTGGGAAGAAGTTGCTATTCTTAACAGAAATGTTAAGGAACTTGTCTGAGATCGTCCAGCAAACAAATAGTGGAGCTGGGATTCAACAGTGCTCAGAGTGTGGAACCCCACGTGCATCGTACGCCCTGTGCAGCTGCTGAGTGCCATGCTTTAGGCACTTTTTAGGCTGCTTTAGACATACACTAAAGAAGTAGGAAGAATAATATATTGCTGAACACCCATGACCCTGAAGCAAGAATTATGGTCAGTCACGGCCAGTCTTTTTTCACTTATACACCCTACTTCTGCCTCCCTACTTAGGTAGGAGAAAGTTTAGAATAATCATGTACTTTTCCTTGCCTTGCCTTTTTCTCTTCTCTCCTTTGTTCTTTTTTGGGACAGGATCTAGCTATGTAGCCCAGGCTGGTATTGATTTTCCTATCCTCCTGCCTCAGCCTCCGGAGTGCAGGGAATGCAGGTGCCAATACCTCCACCTCCTGCTGCACGTTTTAACTTTTATATTACACAACCTTTCCTCCCATAGTAAGTATATCAACTTATCTGCCTCAGAGCCCGTATCTGAAGACCAGAGCCAGGGCCCCTTGATCTACTGCCCAGGGCCTTCTGACTTCTAAGGCTGGGTACCAGGGACAGTGTGTCCCTTCTACTGTTGTTCTGGGATTCTCTGGTCCATGCAGGTCAGCTTCCGGCTACAGCTTGCTTGATCTGTGACTAGAAGATGATTTCTGAGGGTGGCGTCTGTGTGTTTTGCCAAAACACCTCAAGCTTATGGACCCTGGATTTGAATCGGGACCCTGTCACCATGATTGAGGAAGGCATCCCCAAAATGGATTTCAAGGAGTCAGTCTTGAGAGTCTGAATTTGAGATGCAACAATAGGATGGAAATCTTTAAAATCAAAGAGGAAGGAATTCTGTTTAAGAGAGTGGCTGGATCTTGGGCCTGCCTTGGTGCTGGTGAACGTGTTCTCATTTAGGGGCACTGCTTTCTAGGGGCCCTTGGGGTCTTGGTCTTTGTGCTGAGTTCTGTGTTCCTGTCACTACCCCTTTAGAGGTTTGTGTCCTGGGGGGTGAGTGGGAAGGGGAGATCTTGTTCTGAATGGAGGGTTGCCTCATAGGCAAATTGCCACAGCTCCCAGTTGAGGGAACCTCTCAACTCCCCAAAGAGTACAGACTGCCTGTGGCCCTGCTTGGTAGGAACTTTGGGGCCCCACCCAGCGGGGGCCCCAGCGCAGGAACGGGGAGTGAATATGGTTGAGTGGGGCTCATGTGAGCTATGGTGCCCCCTTGAAGAGGCAAAATACAGCAGTTTTATTCACACACAAGGTGGGAGATGTCAGAGTGGTCAGTACCTTTCTACCTAGTATTGTTATGTTCCTAATGCCAGGCTTTGTGCTTAGCATGTTACAGGTTGTGTTGGACCCAATCTTCAATTCAACTTTAGGGGACAGAGAGCTATTGTAGAGGTGGACACCCAGAGAGTTGTAACTTGCCCTGGATCACCCAGCCAGTCAGGGCCTAGCTGGGAATGGCTATAGCCCTACTCAGGGCAAGTCACTGCCTCCCTCGGTCAAGGAACAGTGAGTAATAGTAGCTAACATCTGTGCAGTGTCTTCACACCCATTGTCTCCACTGTGCCTGGGAATACCCAGTGAGGGAGGCATTCTAAGGCTGCTTGGGTCAGCTGCCTGTCAGGGGTCCACCCTCTGCTCATGTCCACCAGTAAGGACTGGAGATTCTTTGGCATTGGTTCTCATAAGCCAGGGGAGAAGGCCTAGAGACAGGCTGAGGTGGAGCGAATTGGCCAGTTGCTATGGTTACCCAGCTGGCTGGGTAACCATTTTGAGGGTTGCTATGGTGACATGCTGCCTGGTGGCAGGGACCTTGTCTTCCTGGGTGGCTGGCACCATCCAGGCTTCTTAAATTGAACTCTTTCACTTTCTGAACAGAAGAGGGCAGCATGAGAGTGGGCAAAATCTTCCTACCCCTGAGCAGATTTGGGAACTTGAGGCAAAGCTTAGAAAGGGTTTCCAGGAGCTGGGCAAAAAAGGAGTTTTGGAGCTAGGCCTGGAGGCAGAACTCCTAAGACTGGAACTAGGCAGTTTTCCTCCAAGAGCAGGGGCAGCCCCTTCAGTGTCTGACATCAGCTCCTATTGGGGAATGTGAAAGGCACAGGAGACTGCTTGCCCTTGGAAGGAGGGGTGGAGGAGCACATGTGTGTGCGTGCGAGCGCACGCACACACACACACACACACACTCTTGCTCTCTCGCCCTCTCTCTCATGCCCTACTAGCACATTTATTTGTACTGCGTCCATAAGCACATGCAGAATAGTGTAGCATGAGCCAAATGAAGAAGTGCTTGGGGAGCCTTCTGGAACTTGGGGAGGGGCACTAGCAGAGAGATGATTTCGCACTCTTCTGTGCACACACAGTGCCTGCGCTCAGCCCTTGAGCCCTGACTGAACACTGAATTGGATTCTCAGTTGTCTTGAGTCGCAGATCTGGCCCCATTCTCAGCCTCCATGAGCATCCTTCACTGAAGCATCCATTCCTTCAGCAAATATTTACTTTTGCAGTGCTGTGGAAACAAGTATGTGTTACCTACTAAGGAATGACCACCTACTAGTGAAAGTACTGTGTTAGGGCCTGTGATGAATGAAGATGAAACAGATGTCACTGCCCTCAAAGAATTGATGAACTAGAGCTCAGCATGGTGGCGCATGCCTGTAATCCTAGCACTTGAGAGGCTGAGGCAGGAGGAGTGCCCTGAGTTTGGGGTCAGCCTGGGCTCCATAGTGAGTTCAAGGCCAGCCTGAACTACAAGTGAGAACTTGTCTCAGAAAACCAAATGAAATCCAAACAAAACAAAACCAAAACAAACAAAAAATCCCAAGTATTTATCCAAAGTTATTTGCTACATGCTACGTACCTGCTACGTGCTACTTACTATGTACTGCTGAACAAGACAGACAAGATTCCATGCCCTTAGGGAGCTAATTCTTTCAGAAAGGATGAAAGATGCTGAGCCCGGAACTTCAGATGTGTGGGTATTAGCAAAGAGGAAGCAGGGTGTCCTAGAACCAGCTAACCTGGGGATCAAGGAAGACTCCCTGTGGGGTCTCAGCAGGGGCGGTTGTTGAAGGGGGCCTACCAGAGCAGGGGAGTGATAAAGGGTTATAGCTGGGGAGAAAAGCATGTGAGAGGGCTCAAGGCCACAGACCACTTTTGAGCTGAAAGGAATTAAAGTAGCAGGGCTTTAGAGAGAAGGCTCTTGACAGGAAGGGGAGGACTCTAAGCAAGTCCTTATCCTTCATTTCCTTGTCTTACCCTTCTTTCCCACTAGATGCCCTCCTGAGTACATCCTGCCTCCTGTTTCCTCCATTGCAGCCTCCTTAGAAATACTGTACAACAGCAGGCTCACCAGTTAGGAGCAAAGGAAAAAAATCACAGGCCAAAAGGAGAAAGCCTCAGAGCTTTCCCAGTTGTGTGGTCTGGCTATAAATTCACTCTTGCTTTGAAAAACAATGAAAAAAGAAAAAGAAAAACCTCCCCATCAGAGGCTTCCCTCTTTCCCATCCTCCCAGCGGCTGCTTTGTTCCTCTAGCCTTGTAAAATTTTGTCTGTGTAAAACAGGAACATCAGCCAAACATGTGGACTTACCCCTTCCCATTTATTAGAAGAATGCATTACTTCAAACTCTCGTGGGGGCATTTAAATGCAAATTTTGTCAAGAAAGCAAGTTGAGTGAAGCTGCTGTAACCATAACCCAAACCAGAACTTTCTTCTTTCATTACTGTGTATCATAGTGGGAATCGCAGCTCCTTGCCCCCCCTGCCAACCCCACACACATTTTAACACAGCCGGATTCCGAGAGCGGGTCTTTTCCTTTCTGCCCCTTCTTATTTCCTCCCCTTTAGTAGGCCCCAGTCACAATTCTTGAGGAACCTGTTCTCAAAGTGGTGTATGTAGGTAGCCCTGGGATGCTGGTGGTGGTGGGGCTTTTTCACTTGCTGCTATGAAAAAAAAACAAGGCAGCAGATGTCTGCAGGGGGTGAGGGTGGAGTGTGTGTGTGTATATTTGCATCTGGGCCTTCTTAGCCCTACTGGTATAAAATAATATAGGAAACGCAGTGACTCAGCACTGATACAGTCAAAATCCCCAGAGTTAGCATTTCTGTAATCTCTGCTGTTTATGAAACATGTTTCTGTGCTACCAATCACCAACTTCTTCATTTTGTGTTTTGCACTGAGCTTTTTACTTGTTGAAAAAATATATATACCTCAAATTTATGCCCCTTCTTTTCATAGTCTGAGCTCATTAGCAGCTGACACCAAAATGTGAATTAGCTCCCCGCTCCCCCTGGATTAAATTGGAAGGAAATGAGCTTTTGTTCACAGATCCTCACTTTCCTCTTTCCGGCTCTTCCCTGTATGGTCACGCCTAGAATACAGGAGCTCAGCAATACTTGATGGAATAAGATATGATTAACGTGATTAATGACTTGCTCACCTGATTTCTGCTTATGATGTGATGTGAAAACCTATTAGCAACCTATCAGTGAAAAGCATCATTTCTTTTTCTTGTTATGAATGTACTGAGCATTGACCAAATAGTTGGCATTACTCACCAGGCACAAAGATACAATCCCTGCCCTAGGGTAAGAAACTCCTCCTCCAAAGTCTTGACACTAGGAACTGCAGCCCAAGTCCCAGTTTTGGCTGCTCAGTGCTGAATAATTTTTGTTTAATTTTTTAACTTGCTCATGTGCCCTTGTTGTGATATCGGCCAGCCTAAATTCTTACAACTCCCTCTCCCTGCCCTGAAAAATCAAGTTAACATGGGGAGGGGAATGGCAGAAGAGGTCACCTGTGGCCTGAACGTGTCACCTACGTTTACCTGGTTCCCTCGTGTACTGCTCCCGCCATGGAACCGAGGCTGAACAGAGGGCCAGCTGACGGTGGAACTTCCTCCTCAGCATGGCCCCAAGTACATTCCTACTTATATTTACCAGTTTCCTTGCTTTACTGTTTCCGTTTCCCTGATGGCAGAAAATAATCAGCTTTCCTGTTTATGCTCCGGAACCCTTTCTTTGTTCTCCAGCGGGCCTCCTTCAGTCTCAGGCTCCCGTCTGATCTAAGTCTCTGTTCCGTGGTTGTCACGGTGTGATAGTCCGTTGGGTCCGCCGCCTCCGGACGTGTGTGCTCCTGCCTGCCTCCTGCCCCCACGGCGCAGGCAGAGTCCCCTTTCCTCCTCCCTCAGTTGTCATTCTCGGGCTCTGCTCCTCGGCCTGGCCCACTTTTCGGTGCCGCGTCTGCCCTCACGCCCACTTCAGTTTCCCCGGCCTCAGGGCAGCCCTTTGTTCCGGGACGCTCTGTGGCCGCAGCGCTGTCCGGGTCTCGCCCTTGCCCCGCCTGGCCTGGGAGCCGAGGCGTCTGTGCCTTCCCTCCCGGCTCCCGCCGCAGCCGCACAGCCCGGCCCGCTTCTCTGCAGCCTGGGGCCGCCTCCTTTGTCCCGGCTCCCGGGCGGGTCAGCGCTGACCGGGGCGCCCGCCCAGCCGGCC